GCCAATTCTCTGCGATCGGAGTTGACGATGACAACGAATTGAAATCTTTTGAGTACGTTTTCTTTGTTTTTTTTTTTTTTGGCCCTTTGAGCAAATGGTGTTTCCCCAGGACTTTGGGCCTTCACCAACGTCGGATGGTACCAAGTTTACAGCGTTTTGTTGGACCGAGCATTCAGGTTCGTCTCTAGTGCCGACCTGGTTTCAGATTTTCTCTTTTCTTTGCGTTCATTTCAGGCAGCTGCTAAGTTCCTTGACTCTGGAGCTGTCACTGCTGGTCGATACCTGTGGCGTCGACCCCTTGCAAGGCTTTTTGTAGTGTGCTACTTGGTAAGATCAAACATCTTGTTTCTGCGCTGTCGGGCTGACAGTTTGGTTGCAGGTGTTTGTTCACTTCTGCTTGATGTACTTGCTTCATCGTCTCCAGGTAAGATTTGTTTAGCCAGTTTGCTGCATTGGACACGGTTTCTTTGATGGGCAGGCAAAAACTATAGAAGAAATTGAGGCAGCAGCAGGCTTGATGAAGAATGGGTGAAAGAAAACTCTAAAGAAAAATCTTTCATATATAACCTCTGGCGCTACGGTTTTGAGGGATTTCCAGGAAAAAGAGCGATTCCTTCAAGTAGTTTCTTATATGTTCTTAATATAAAAACGTATATACAAACACGGAAAGCTGGCTCGGCAAAGAGCAAATAAAGAACATAGTAAAAGAGATGATGGACTTGATCTTCAAGCTCAACATCACAGCTGGGAGTTTCCAGAAGTCCCAAAGTATCAGCTCTCAACATCAGAAGTAAAATGCATTGCATGTATCTAAGAATAGGGTCCTTTGTTCCTTAGTTGGGATTGTAAACACTTCATATAAAATAAGAAAATATAAAACTCTCTCTCTCTCTCTCTCTCTCTCTCTCGCGTTCATGACCTGCAAAAGCATGCAGAAAGGGATGGGAGTGTGCTGGTAATTCGTTCTATCCTTTCCCAACTCTACAACTCTTGCTCCTAAAAGAACTGTAGAAAGGAGTGAGAAACAAGCACAAGTATCCAAAAGGTTGGTAGAGAGGAGAGGGACCAACACAAATCACACACATTGTTTGTCTGTCACCAAACTCGCAGCTGCAGCAGGAAGAAGTGGAGGAGCCTTTTTCTGCGCCTTTTCTTTCATTGTCGCTCTTGGGGGCATAGTCTTCGTCAAAAATGCGATTTCAAGGCAACAAACAAGCGGTTGTTGGCATCATCCAGTTGTGGCATTACGAGGCTGACATCCCCATCCTGTTCCCTTGGAGAAATCGTGGAATCTTTTCTCTCCAAGCCAGTGCGCTCTCCAGATCCAAGCTTGTTTTCATTACTATACGTTCATTTCATCGTTTGAAGTGCGGACGAAGCCTCACACAGCGAATGGCCCAAACTCACACGGAACCCTTCGGTCTCATGTTTCATGGGCTTTGTAAAAACTGATTTCTACTTGTTACTCCAAATTAGAGATTTAAGTCTTTGCTTTTTTTTTTTTCTTTGTTTTCACCCTCTTTGCTGCTGCTGCCCAGGGACCAATGAACACAGGTATGCAGCTCAGCGAGTCAGAGGCAGCAAAGCAAGGCCCCTGCTCATCGTTTTGTCGCTTTGGGGACGATTTACGATATAACCTGAAAGCTGCAAAGTCCGCGTCAATCCACAGCGAGGGGAGAAAAATGTGCACTCCCTCCAATTCAACTACGAGACAGCCTTTTGCTTGGCTCTTTCTTCTCCCAAAATTACAAAAGCCAAAAGGATTTCAGGCAAACAATTCTTTCCCCAACCTACCTTTCCATTGAATTCCTCGAGTTACCTTTACTAGCAAAGAGACGATATTATGGAATGGCCGGGTCAAAGCGGCCAAATTGTCGTCTTTGCGTCCCTCCCGGAAAAAAAGTTGGCGGCCCGGGAAGTGAAACCAACCTATGGTCAAACAATCTCTGTTTTTCTTTTAGAGTTTCTGGGTGGTGGTAGGTGAAGGGATGATGAATGTGATTCCATTACTGTTTCTATATGTGATCCTTGTCACAATCCTCGTAATCCACATTATGAGCCACCGCCGCCTCCTCGCATTCATTCGTATTTTGTTTCGTGGTCATGCTTTGAAATCAAATGTGCATGGCTCTCCGGAGCCGGTCCCATGCCCAAACGGGCGCTGTGGTGATTGTAAGGACATCTATCTATCCATCTCGGTACAAATTTACAAAGGTGGCGGAGAACGAAGAAAGAGATAACTTACAAAGGTGGTGGAGAACAATTTTTTTTTTCTTTTCTTTTTTTCCAAAGATCCCCTTTTCTCTCTCTCTCTTTTGTGTGAGAATATATGGAAGGGTCTAAAGTGTTTGCTCCACTTGTGAGCCCAAAATCCCATTTCTTCCCTCTTGCTCGTGATTGTCTGGCTTTTGGGCCACGCGCTGCTGCAAAGCAGCGAGCCGATCGATCCCCTGCTCGATTCCTGCCGGCTCAGGCCCTAGATATTTCTGGCGGGGAAGCGAGTCGAAACCCAAACCCCACCATTGTCTGTCGGCGTCAACGCCATGTGCCCTCCATCAAGGTCTCCCTGGCATATCCATTCAATATTCCACCTCCAGTGTTCCATGAGCTCCGGCAAAACATAAATACTCTATGCGAACTTGGGAGCATCGCTTTGGCCCACATCCATATTGTCTCCATCCTTCTGGTTGTTTAGTATTTTTTCTTCTTATTTTTCCTTGATCATGTAGCTTGGGAGATTTGGAAAGTATGAGGAAAGAGGAGGAATTTCTAGAGAGATCAAGCGAGATCACACAAATCTCTCCAGATTTTCAATCCACAAAGAGGAAGGCTTGTTGTCGCTCTCGCAAATAATACCGGTGTGGCTCTTTGACCACAAAAGAGTGGCTTCTATCTTAGATCTTAAAACACCACCATAGCCGCCACCATCACCACTACCACCACCATAGCCGCCACCATCACCACTACCACCACCATAGCCGCCACCATCACCACTACCACCACCATCTCACCGCCACACCAAGAAAGCAAGCAATCCATAGACAATGACAACAATCCCTTCGCTTTATCATCTTTCCAGCCCAGAATTCCGCAAAGCCATGCCCGTCCATTCTGGAGCCTTGATTGATTGATTGATTGATTGATTGAATGGCTTCCATTAGAAGAAGAATCACGGGCGAAACAAGGGCAAGCATGGTGGCACACTTTAGAAGCTCTTTAGAAGAACACACACACACACACACACAAAGAAAAACTGTGTGACACTGTCGTGTGGATTGATGAATCCATTGACCGGATGGAATGAATTCCCGCAAACCACCCCAGCTGTGGCGGTCAACGTCACACAGCCTTCTTTAAATGGCTAGTCCACGCTTCTGGCTTCGTTAAATGGCTTCCCTTTTTGCCCTTGCAAAATGGCGGGAAAATGCGAAGGCATATCCTATGTACGGAAAAGATTCCCTCTCCCAGCATATAGTGAAGTGATAGATTGATCCAAGGTGCTCTTTTAGATGCCATATTGGGGGATCATTCGACCATGGAGCATTACCTAGATCGAAGACAAATCAAACAGGGGAAATTCTCTCTTTTTTTTTCCGTATATACTGATTTTGCAAAGAATGATCACATGCACTCCGAACACTTTTTTTCTTGCTCTCTTTTTTTTCCCTTGTTGGAAACACACTTCGCCGACATGAGTACAGACAGCTACGGCGAATGCGCCGTGCAATAGAATTTTGCCCTAACTCAAAGGTGGCATTGTTCCTCGTCCTGTGCACTTTGGCCATTTAGAACATTGATACTTACCGTGTCACATGCTTGGGTCGTGAGCGAGAACTATAAGCTATCTATATCTATACATTAAAGTTTCTTGCGGTGAAAGGAAGAGTGGATCGGATCTGGGGCGATTGGGCTGGCGGGTGGCGGCCCCCCTTGCGCGAGAAATTTTCCCCCCATTCAATCCGGGGGGACGATGGTCATGATCGCTTCCGGCGTGGCCTGGTTTTTAGGGTTCTTAAAAGCCTCTGTTTCTAGGGCTGCCGTGGCCGTTATCTTTCTTCCGTTGGGTGGGGTTCGAATCGCGGGGAATAAATACCGCCCCCACACGCCCTTGCGTTTCCACCGCGCCTCTGCTAAGGACACCGGCCTCTAGAAACACGAGGCTCCACTTCTCCACACGACTCTAAAAACGAAGAGAAATCCACAGACCTACAGTACACTGTTACTTCCTCCTACCTCGCTCCTGCCCTGTCTCGATCTCTCGGGAGGGGGAGAGAGGGAGAGAAAGAAAGCGAGCGAGCGATCGATAAACAAGGGGAAACAGGGGAGAGGAGAGGAGAGGAGGGCGGGGCTCGAGCTAGAGATCCTGGGTGTCTGGGCCCAAATTTTGGCAGCTGGAGCGCGGAATTCGGAGGAGGCGATCGAGGATAAGCAACCCTCTTGCGGGATGGATCAAATTTGATCGACGGGCAGCGGATTGACCGCTGGATCCAGCGCCAGGCTCCCTCCCCTGTTCTTGCCCTTCCTCGTTGTTGTTGTTGGTGCATTGCTGCTTCCGCCAGGTCCCTCGGCAGATCAGAGACAGGCCCATGCCTTTCCTTGGTCGTCGAATTGCGTGCCCGCAAATCTCTCCCCTCTCCTCCATCTTCTGCTAATGCTTCGCCGCGCCCCCGCTAGCGCTTCCACACTGTAGAGTCTCCTCCCTCCTCTCTCTCTCTCTCTCTCTCCTTCCTAGATAGATAGAGTGAGCGAAGAGAGCGCCAGCCAATGCTTTGATAGGAGAAAGGAAAGGATAGCTTACGCGAAGAAGCTATCGCTATGGCCGCCGCGTCAATGCGTTTGTCGCCCATTCACGCTTAGCAGCGCAGAGCTTTGGTGGGTCTCCTCTCTCTCTCTCTCTCTCTCTCTCTCGATCTCGATCTCTCGGGGCGGATTCGGGGATCGGATTTTGGGCGGTTTAAAAAATCTATCGCTGCTCTTCGTTCTTGTGTTCTTCCGTTGCTCTCCATCCCCACGAATTCTACAGTGATGCTGCTCCGGTGAGCAGCGAAGGAAGAGAAATCGGTGGCAGTGGAATGCGGAGGAGATCAAAATGGGTGGCGTCTCCAACACCATCACCACCACTGCCACCATCACCACCACCACCAACAACAAGTGCTTCTCCTCCGATTCCACGCTCGTGAATCCTCCTCCTCCCCCACCACCTCCGCCACCACCGTCCTCCGCCGCCGCGCTGGATCTCAACAGCCCGCCGCCCAGCCGCCTCAGCAGCCGCGCGAGCAGCAGCAGCAGCAGCAGCAGCAGTCCCCCGCGGAGTATCGGCGGCGGCGGCGGCGTAGTGGCGGAGGCCGAGCCTAGCACCGCCAACGGTGGCGGCGCTGCCAGTGGCGGTACCTGTCAGGCCGCGAAGAAGCCCGCCTCGCCGGTGGCTGCCGAGGCGGAGGCCATCAAGCAGCAGCTCGCCGCCACCACTTTCATCCAGGCGGACGTTCTCACGTTCCGCGAGGTCGTCCAGAAGCACACGGGCGCCGCGGAGGATGCCCAGGACAAGATGCCCGTCACCGTCCCCGCGAGGCAATCCGGCGGATCCAAAAACCACCACCAACACCAGCAGCACCAGCAGCAGCAGCAGCAGCAAATCGCTTCCCAGCCCGCGGATCCGCCGGGCAATGCGGTAGCAACGTCGGCGGCGGGACCGGGAGCGGTACCGCACGGTACCGCCGGCGGCATGCCGCTGCGGCGCCACATGTCGCGGCTGCACGAGCGCAAGCAGAACAACCTGCGCAACCTGGATATCAACCGCGGGTCGCCCTTCAAGCGCACCGGCTGCTCGCCCCGCGGCTCCGACGTGTCGCCCAAGCTCGTCTACAGCGACGCGCTGCACACCGCCGCCGCCGCCGCGGGCGGGCTCCTCCCCAGCCCCGTCACGCCGCTCTCCTCCGAGGCCTCGTTCGAGACGAGCAATCCCCAGCGGCCGCACCACCACTTGCAGCCGCCGCTCACGCCCACCGAGCTCCTCCGCCAGAGCTTCGATCGGAGCTTGCATTGCAGCGATGATCTCAAGTCTCCACCGCCGCCGCCACCCCCGCCGCCGCCGGTCCACCACCAGCCAAACGGGATCGTGGCGTCGCCAGCGGCCAACGGTGGCGGCGTTTTCGAGCGCTTCCCATTCCACCACCACGGTATGATTCTCCATACCCAGCAGCAGCAGCAGCCGCAAGCGGTGGTGGCGACTCATCTCCAGCTCGGAAATCCTCACCACCTCCACCACCACCCCGCGGCCGCCGCTCACCATCTCCACCACCACCACGTCGCCGCCACCAATCAACACTTTGTCTACGAGCACCACCACCAGCAGTTCCAGGAGATCCAGCACCACCAACAGTTCCAGCACCACCATCTCCAGCGGGAGCCCGAGCTCTTGGATCTCTTCCCGGTCCACGCCACAAGCTTCAAGGATCGATCATAGCAGAGCGTCAAATTCTTATTTTTGTTTTGGAAGAACTTTGGTCTCAGGAGAAGCAAAGGGAGGGTTTCGATCTTCCAAGAGGAAGTTAGAAAGCATATGCCGCTTGTGGGCATCTTTGAAATATTTTACCACCATCAATTTCACTCACAACTCGCTTCTTTGCTTTCGTTTTTTTGTCATTGTTTTCGTTTCCTTTTGTCTCCCTTCGAAAGGTTCTGGGTTTTATGGTCTTCTCGTTGAATTGGTTTCGTCTTTTTTTCCTTCGTCCAAAAATTCATTGGCCACTCCTCTAGAAGCTCCCAAAACTTCCACTGGCATTTGGACCAGCGCGGAGTAAGCTTGTCAACTTGGTCTTGTTTTTGTTGCTTGCTTGGCGTGTTTGCTTCTTCTTTTCCACCTCGTTGCTGTCCCTCGTTTGCTCGCTTCGCATTGCCTTCTCCAGTGTATTCCCTTGTTTGATCGTTTTGCATTGCCTTCTCCGCTGGATCGAGCAGAGACTTTTCTTTCCAGGAGCGTTTTAGCGCTGGCTTTGCGTCGTCGTGCCTTGTGTGAGTGTGTGGAGCCGGGCAGGTCGAGCAGGCTTGTCCGATGCATTGCATTTCCACCCCAGGAAGTGAAAACGAGTGCCACAGTGCTCAGGAGGTCCTTCCTGGTGTGCCACAAATGCTGGATTGATTGGATCGTTTTGCGGGAGAAAGAGAGAGAGAGAGCCTTATCTCCACGGGATAAAAGCGCAGAGCCGCTCATTGGCCCAAAATAAATGTGTCTGCAAGCCTAGGAGAAAAAAAAAAGTGAAAAGGAATCCAATGATGTAAAAAACTCTTACCGCGAGGGGAGTGGAGTGCGATCGAGGCTGGAAGTTCAAACGTTATTTAGAGAGTGAACAGAAAACCAGGAGAAAAGAGGGAAAAAATCCTTGCCTCTTTCTTCCAGACCTGTTGAGATTCTGTAGCGAGCCCCAGATATAAGCATTTTGGCAGGAGGCGTTGTAGAGTGTTGATATGGACGGCAGCCGAGAATCTCTCGTACTTTTCACTTTGGGTGCTCGTAATCTCTGCTTGATCTCTGCCCTGCGAGCAAATCTTTGCATTTGGAAGCGGTTAGAAAAGATCTCGCAGAGCTAAGCAAGCGTTCCTCTGGTAAAAAAAAAGTATAGGGAAGTAAAAAAAAGCATGAGCACAAGATAGAGCTCGTTAGCGACGAGAATATACAAAGCCCATAGAAGCTACACAGACCAGACAGTATCACAAAGGTACCACCTGATGTCCTGTAGCCAAAACGATGGTGCCAAGCATCATCAAATCACCAAAGTTTGTCGTCGTCGTCGATCCCTGTTACTACCTAGAGAAGTTTTCCTTCGATCACGTTTCCGCGGCTCCGAAGCAGCAATACCATTTCTTCTGCATCAAAACACGATCAGCTATACGGCTGGGAAGAGGGAAAAGAGAGCTTTGCATTACATTGGACGAGGACCGGTCCGGATTGTTCTTGTACAGCTCGCTGTCGTTCTTCACGGGGGACGCCGGTCGGCCACCGGATCCGGCTCGCTTCTCGTCTCTGGCTTTGTTGAAGATGATGGTGAATCCATCGGCCGAGGAGGGATCTTTTGGATCCCAGGCACCGAATTTTGGTAGCGGTGGCCCCTGTCCCTTCTCCTGTTGAGAAACGACGCTAAGTTATAACTATGGCTCGCTAGAGCACGAAGGAAGAATTAAAAAAAGAGATTTTTACCTGGTCTTCCTGCATGGGATTGGCTCTCATTCGACTCCGCCCGGGTGTGGAGGGCGCAAAGTTATTGCCACCTTCGTTCTTCTTCTCCCATGCAGGAGATCCTGTCGACGTTCTATTGCTGCTGCTGTGGTTTCTTACTTGCGGGTGGAGAGGCGAGCGCTCGGTGCTGCTTTGCCTCCGCGAGGAATGGTCCAAGTGCCGGCGCACATCACTCTGGTCCTTCTTCTACCACAGAAGAAAAGACAATCAATCACTCGAAAAACCACTCTGTTCAATCCATCCATCCAGCGGCATTTGCCCCGCCGTCGCGGATTGGACGAAATTACTTACAGCCATGGCGGAGAAGAATGCTCGATCGACCCTCCCACTCGCTACAACGCGCCGAGACAATCCGCCGCTGCTGCCCTAGGAGACGGCATTCCAGTGGGAGAGAGACCTAGAGGCAGCTGATCTAGAGAGGCCAGATCCAGCTAGAATGCTGGCACTTGGGCGCCCCGCCGTGGCTGAGATCGCCGTGCCCTAGGCGAGAGATAGCCGAGCGAGCACCACCTCGTTCCACATCCTAGGCAAACTAATAGATGACCTAAAGACGGGATTGCCAAGAAACAAGACGACAGGGCACCTGTACGAAAGGCTCTCGACTAGCAAAGTTAATGAACGGGAGATAATTTAATCTCTCTAGATATTTAAAAAAGAGATAGAATATTCCTTCCTATCATATTTACACTGTTTAGAGTATCAAAGCCAACAAAACTGGGAGGACGAGAGCTTTCCAAGCGAGAGTTTGGCGATGGATGGCCGCGCTGGGAAGAAAGGGATACGAGTGAGGAGGCGGCAAAACGCATTCTTCGCCATTGAAATACACCCTGCGGGGAAATGCCCAGCCTTTGTCCAGAGTGAAGCTGGGATCCTTTTGGAAGAGGAGCTCCGACTGGACGTTTCCAACGGGGCCGGCAGTGAGGAGTTCGTCGTTGTAGTAGCGGATCCCCCAAAACATCGCTGTGTCATCTGGAAATCACCACTCAAGTTACTGATCAAGAGCGATGGAGCGAGAGGGAAAAAGGAAAGCTTACTAGTGCGTCCTCGCGGCAAGCTCATGTAGTTGAAGCTGAATGCCGAGGTGAGGTTGTCCAGGTTGGGGTGCTGGACGACGACGTTCCACTGCGTGTGGTTCTTCCGGAGGCTCCTGTTGATGATGGTGAGCTTGGCTCGCCAGTAGTCGTAGTAGTTCGTCTTTACGTGCCAGTGGATCTTCACCGGGCACATATCGGTGGAGCAGTAAAGCTCTGGTGGATCTCTAGTCCTGCCCGTGCTATAGCCCGGGGAGTTCATATAGGCAGAGCTCCTGAGAGTAGCATAAGAACAATCAAGGCCTGGGAAGAAAAGTTCCAAAAGCTTACATTTGCATGCACATCGGCTGGGCATTTTGGATCGGCTGTGTCGCGTTGTAGGAGCACTGGCACGCACAAGTCGGGCAAGGAACGATCGTCGCGTTGTAAAAAGCCGAGTAAGAAACGCAGCAAGATGGTGCTCGCTGAGCCACGGCCTGGGAGTACCTACAGGTAACATTCCAAGTCACTGCCACACAACCAAGTCAGTCTGGAATTCCCTGAAGAAACTCCAGTTCCAAGCACTTACTCAAGGCTTGAGTCGCTCGACGATGATCCGGAGTGAAAAACAAGCTCCCGTTCACTCTCCTGGGAGAAGAGCACTCGTAGCCGGGCCCGGGAGCGCCGAGAAGGAAGCTCTTGGGAGGAGAAGTTGTGTCGCTCACATTGCTGGACTGGCCAACCGTGAGCTGAAAGCTCGCCACTGAATTCTCCGGGTCTTGGAGAAGCGAGCTCAGCACACCATTCCTACAGCAGTTGGCCGACTTCATGCTGGCAGGAGCTTCCGGGAGCAAATCCACAATGGTCGGGCTTTGAAGGCAGCAGTGCGGGATTGTTCCATGGAACTTGGAGCAATCTCCTTGATACGTTGCCTGAGCTCCAACCATTCCCCAGATCACTTCTCCTCCTTGCCACGTCCATCCCAGAGTCCATCCCGGCGATTCTATGTGGCGATAGCGCTGGTAGTTTATGATCGATACTAGAGCCTGTGAGGATCACAGTAAGTCTAGAAACGAGAAGAAAATCTTCGATCTGTTCGATCTACCTGGTATCCATCTGATGTCCAGCTGATGATATCCCATTTCAGAGTGATATTTCCTTCCGGATCGAGAGGATCGAATGCTTGGACTGGAGAGAAGAGGGAGGAATAGGAAAATCTCGCTAGGGCTTATCACGTACCTCGATCACACAAGAGGATCAGCGCGGCGAGCAAGGCGGGCGCCGAAATTCCAAGCCTGGATCCCATCCACTAGACAATGCGCGATCCCGCGGCGAAGAATCGGTGAAAAATGGGAGGAGCGCGCCATCTCCATGCAACTCCCGCTACTCTCTCCCTCTATTTTTCTTTGGCAGTGCTATAATAACCAGTGATTTAAACTTTCACCTTTTTCGATTAAGATGTAATTAATATAGTAATTAATACAGGTTTAAAACTCCGCGAACTCCAGCTCATGCGGCATGAAGTCTTCCGTGGTTCTAAAGCTTTTGTCGGGAGAGTAGTAGCAGAGATTAGTAACTTGGCTTGTGTACAAGCACGCGAATCGTTCCACCTACAAGGAAAACGCGAACGAAAACGATGGAGATGGATTGAAAAACTTTGGATGGAACCCAAACCTGGTGAGCAAATCGGGAGTTTTGATAGCCAGTTTTCATGAGCTGTCCCCAGACGCTATGGAACTGGAGAGACGACAGAAAATTTGAGCCAGGGATGAGTTGGAGCGAAGTTTTGAGTACCTTTTGGTGGAGATCTTTGTGTGTTTGGCGCTGAAGATCTCGGATGGAGTCCCTGTCCTGCTGTAAAGACTTGGCTCTCGTTAAGAGCTCTTCTTCATTCTGGTGTTCTAGCCTGAAAGAAGAGTTTTACTGGTGTTTATGGAATGGTTTTCCAGATAAGAGCCCACCTGAGCTTCCACTTTGCACGCTGGAGCAGGTCTTCTAATTCCTCGCGCTTTCGACGGAATTTGCGAAACTCCTGAGGCAGACTTGTGCATTTAATGGAAACTTGTGACCGTAATTCACGACTTACTTTTTGAAGCTTGAGGTTCTGTTTCAGTAGCTCCAGCTCACTCTCAAGCTCCGGAATGACAAGCATCGTTCTCCACCCTATTACAATCTGCATAAGTTTTTCGCGATTGAAGACTATTCACTCGTTGAGGAGTATCTTACCAAGTTGTTTCTTGCTCCGCAAGATGTCTCCGTAGATGTGGTCACCTACATACAGCACCTATTCGCCAATAATGAATCAGTATCTTTACAAAAAACTTAAAGCACAGATTGCGGCTACCTGGGCCCCTGCCTCGATGGCTAGCAGTTTATGTAGGTGTGCAACTCCTCCTCCCTGTTTTACAAAGCCAAAATCATCCAGATTAAGAAAAAAAATAAGAAACTGATTCAGCGTACTTGAAAAGCTCTGCAGTGCTGACTGTTCTTCTTCTTTTGAGTTTCCAGGCCAACTCCCAAACCGCCAACCTGAGGTGACAATCAGAATCATTACTCTCGAAAAACACAAGGATCACACACCTGCATGAGAGGCGTTCCGTTGTCTGTGTTCTGGAGCATCCCAGTTTCGATGTCAACCTCGAAAAGAGGGGCTCGATTGCTATCAGCAAAAAAAGCAGGCTTTGCGCTGAGCAGGAGTAGTAGTACATTAGAACAAGAAACAATGAAAACAATGGAGCTAGCACACCTGCCAGTAATGACAAGGTCAAAATAGGAAAGCCATTCGTCGTCTCGAGGTACACCTTCGTTACCAGTCTTTCCACATAAATAGTTCATAACCACGTGTGTGTAGTCCCAGAGGCTGCAACAGCGCTCACATTCGCTACAATCTTAGAAAAAAGGTAAAGGTACCTGTTTGTTACGAGAAAAGTCATGCGGCCAGAGTCTCGCAGCATTTTAAACATTGGGACCAGCAGCGGATCTTCGTGGATATATCTGTGAAGTTTTTCAAAGGAATCAGAATAAAAGTTAAGTGGGGAGAACAGTACTCACTTTCCAGGGTCAAGAGAAACAGCTTGCTTAAGTGTGCCATCACGGTGGCACAAGTCCACAGCAGACCGTACATCTTTGTAAATCTGGGCATAACTGTGGAAACAAAATACATGAGCGTTCTTCAAAGGATCACAACTTCGCTTTACCTTGGTACAAGCATGCCATCCTCAGAATGAATGCTGGAGATCACAACGGAATAAGTACAGAAGCAGACAATGATTACAAGTCGTACTCTTTTGCCGGAAGCTTGCTAGGAGAACTATCTCTGTACTCAACGAGCTGCGCAAAAAGATATGCTTCCGCCAAGGAGAAGAGGGTGTCGATAAGCGCATAGTCAGGTTCGTCGTAGGCTTCACGGGACAGTGTGTTCCCATAAGTAGCCATTCTCTCTTCACGGGGTAATTCTCGAAACCCATGGTAGGCAACCTTGACGTACTTGTGACGATCCATCTGCGGATGCATTGTCAAGAGTTATAAACAAAATGGAAGCTGGGGGAAATCAAAGTATACTTTCAGAACGTTGCCTCGCCTTTTATCCAGAACTAGACCTCTGATCATATATTTCCAGTCGAATGTCCATTGCAACAGCTGCAAATTGGAGCATTTAGTAACAGGTGAACATATAAAAACTGTAAGGAGATTTTGGGACGAGAGCACGAACATCAGTGGGATAGCCGAGATTGTAGACCAGCTTTTTGACCGTTCCCTGGTAAGCAAGAACCTCAAACGTATCTGGCTTGTACTGTGCGAGAGTGTAATCCATATCGAAGCCAACAGCCACAATGCTCTTCATATTTAAGGACCTGTTGCAAAAAATATGCTTGCTGGAATCCACAACTCCATTCCACTTGGAAGAAGCCCATGTCAAGGGATGCTCCTCCGCCAAGTAGCACGACGGCGAGTTTAGAGGCTCCCTGGGAAACGGGGACAATTCCCAGTCCAAATCACCGTTTGGCACAGGAGAAACTGGAAATTCAGGATCGAGAGCGTGAGCCACAGAGATTTCCTATCGGAATTTCAAACCTGTGACGCCTAGATCCGGGCGCTTGAACTTCGGAAGCGCCATCGCGAGCTCACGGCAGCATCCCGCGATCCCGAGCTAGAAACTTAGGCAGCGCTTCCACCGATTTGAAACGAGCGATCAGCTGCCAAGAGAGAGCACGGACTTCTGCAAGAAGGCGCGAGCTAGGGCTTTTATACGCCTTGTTGTCATGGGAATGCGTCAATCGGGGCTGTTGGAAGGGAGGATCCAACGGTCCATGGAGCTTGCGCATATTCGCGTCGTATCTCTCTTGCCGTACATGGGCCAATGGCCATTGCGCTGTCTCTATTATTTTTCCAAGCGGGGAATCTTGTTGTGGTACGAGGGTCCTGCCCGTAAATAATTTCTTATAGTTTCGTGTGAATATACTTTAATCACCGTCGTCGTATGATGTCCACGATTCCAAAGCGCGAGGATGTCACCCAAATCATTCCAAAGAACCCACTACGGCGGTCGCGATTGGCTGGTATTCGCCCAGTTGTGCCGTTCCTAACGGCAACTTTCTATTTGGGCGGTAGCGTTTAAATCTCCCTCCATTTTCCTATACCCTCGCTTTGTTTGTTCTTGTTCTTGAGTGAAACGAGGGCGTCTTTGCAAACGCTCTAGGGTTTCATCGCCGCGCTGCGCCTTCTTCTTTCTTCCTCGGTCGATCCAAGATGAGGGAGTGCATCTCGATTCACATCGGCCAGGCCGGGATCCAGGTCGGGAACGCTTGTTGGGAGCTGTATTGTCTCGAGCACGGCATCCAGGTAGGGATTCTAGAGTTTCCACAGCGATTTCACGCCTCTTCTCTCCTCTTTGCAGCCCGATGGACAAATGCCCAGCGATAAGACTGTCGGAGGAGGCGACGACGCATTCAACACGTTCTTTAGCGAGACCGGAGCTGGGAAGCATGTTCCTCGTGCTGTGTTCTTGGATTTGGAGCCCACAGTGATCGACGAGGTGAGGACTGGGACTTACCGCCAGCTCTTCCATCCGGAGCAGCTGATCAGCGGCAAGGAGGATGCTGCTAATAACTTTGCTCGCGGTCACTATACGAGTAAGTATTCATACTTCTTTCATTCAGATCAACTACTTCTTCCGCTAAATGGGTGTTTTGTGTTCGCAGTTGGGAAAGAGATCGTGGACCTTTGCCTGGATCGCATCAGGAAGCTGGCGGATAACTGCACTGGATTGCAAGGCTTTCTCGTGTTCCATGCCGTTGGTGGCGGTACGGGGTCTGGGCTGGGGTCCCTTTTACTGGAAAGGCTGTCCGTGGACTACGGCAAGAAGTCCAAGCTCGGCTTTACAGTCTACCCATCGCCCCAGGTATCAACATCCGTTGTGGAGCCCTACAACAGTGTTCTCTCGACTCACTCGCTATTGGAGCACACTGATGTGGCCGTCCTCCTTGACAACGAGGCCATTTACGACATTTGTAGGAGGTCACTCGACATTGAAAGGCCAACTTACACCAACCTGAACAGGCTCGTGTCACAGGTAAGATGGTAGAACTCGTTTCTTTGCTTCTCATTGATTGACACTCGGCATTGCTGCAGGTGATCTCATCGCTCACGGCTTCTCTCCGTTTCGACGGCGCGCTCAACGTGGACGTGACCGAGTTCCAGACCAACTTGGTCCCGTACCCGAGGATCCACTTCATGCTCTCGTCCTACGCGCCGGTCATCTCCGCCGAGAAGGCGTACCACGAGCAGCTGTCCGTGGCCGAGATCACCAACACCGCCTTCGAGCCGGCGTCGATGATGGCCAAGTGCGACCCGCGGCACGGCAAGTACATGGCGTGCTGCCTCATGTACCGCGGGGACGTGGTGCCCAAGGACGTGAACGCGGCGGTGGCCACCATCAAGACCAAGCGGACCATCCAGTTCGTGGACTGGTGCCCCACGGGATTCAAGTGCGGCATCAACTACCAGCCCCCGACGGTGGTTCCCGGCGGAGATCTGGCCAAGGTCCAGCGCGCGGTGTGCATGATCTCCAACTCCACCAGCGTCGCCGAGGTCTTCTCCCGGATCGACCACAAGTTTGATCTCATGTACGCCAAGCGCGCCTTCGTCCACTGGTACGTTGGTGAGGGGATGGAGGAAGGGGAGTTCTCCGAGGCCCGCGAGGATCTGGCGGCGCTCGAGAAGGACTACGAAGAGGTTGGCGCCGAGTCTGCCGACGGTGAAGATGAAGAGGGGGGAGAAGATTACTGAGAAAGAATCGTTTGCATCGAAGAGTGAGGATTTCAATCAAGCTAGTGTTGAAAACCTTTTGTTCTAGATGTTTGCAAAGCTTTCGTACCATCTTTCTCCAACTTTGGTACCATCTCTCCATGAAACAAAACTTTGTCACCATCCTTCTTCCATGAAACAAAACTTTGGTATCATCTCACCATGAAACAAAACTTTGCCTCCATGAAACATCTCTCCATGAAACAAAATGTTGGTACCATCTCTCCATGAAACAAAACTTTCATGAAAACAAACTATGGTACCATCTTTTTCCAAGAAACATAACTTTGGTATCATCTCTCCATCTGTCTCCATGAAACAAAACTATGATATCCAAGAAACAGCTTTGGTATGAAACAAAACGTTGCCACCATCTTTTCTTGATAAGATCAAACAAGAATCTTGGGTGGTCTTTTAATTCCAAACGATGCTGAGGAGGCCTGGAATAGAAGCCATAGTTTAGAGTTTTTCATAAAATTCTTCCGGCCAACCTGTGGATCAAGGTTTTTCACGTTGAAGATCGCTTTGTGAGGATTTGATGCGTAGGCGTGGAAGTAAGATCTGTATCCTTCGGTCGAGAGCTGGTGTATGCGAAAGTTCTTCTGTACCAGCTTCTCCTGTAGGGAATACGAAAGATATGAGAGAATTTTTACCAAGATAAGAGGACCCCACGCACCATCTGCGACTGCAAAATCCCGGTTTTGATATCGGAGAACTCGCACTGAAGAAAAGAATCGCTATCCCGGACACCCTGATGGAGCGCGGAGCAAGAGGAAAAGTAAGCACGGACGATCATGAGTAAAGTTCCGTGGATCGTATCACTCACTTTAAGGAAACTGATCTCCTGCGGGAGGAGGAAGAGCAGGCCTCTATTATTGCCCCCTTGTTGCTGTCCCGGTCGCTGCTTGTACTTCTGCAATGGGCGATCGCACTCGAGATTTAGAAAGGATGCACTTTTTCTTTGTTCTTTGAAGCGTCAAAGCATACCTCTACGTCATCCGGAGGCTCAAATTGCAGAATCCAGTCCTGTAGGTGAGAGCAAAGGTGTGGTGTCAGGCAGAGATCGGACAAGTAACATAAGCTTCTAGATCGGTCACTCTCGAAAAGAGAAAAGAAAAAGGAAAAGTATGAGAAAGAAGCCACACGGCATAGAAAGCAACTAAAAGAGTGGCCTGCTCCAACACAAAGAACAAAGTGGAGGAATGGTCCAAAACACACACACACACACACACACATTTACGTTTCATCTAGATCGAACCAGACGAACAAAGCAAATAAAAAGAAAAAGGAAGAGAGGAGAGATTTACGTACCACTGGAGGGATGATCAAACCGTAGAAGACAGCATCCGTGGTAAGTAGCAAACCCCTGTCGGCATCCCGGAATTGGTCGATAGTGCTGCGCGCTTTGGCATCGTCTAGCTTTTCGTGAATGGAGAGGTTTGGTATACCCAGCGCGATAAGGACTTGGTTGTGGAACAGTAGCGAGCGATAAGTTGAGAAGATGACGACAATCTTCCACACACAAAAACAAAACAGTTAAAACCTCTTCGTTGCGAGCGAGGAGAAAAAATAAATCTCTGGAGAGAGAGGGAGTAGCTTACCTTCTTCTTGAGATTCTTCTTCAAGAATGTAGCAAGGAGCCCGAAGCGCTGATCGCCAGGCGCAATGCAGTAGAATCCTCTCGCGGACGAGTTCTTCGATTGCGCTGCCGCCGGATCGCCGCTTAGCAGCGGCTCTGGATCACAAGGATTTACCTTCTGGATCGCGTTCTTCTTCTTCTTCCTCCTATCCTCGTCTTGGACGATCACGTGCCCTCTCTTCATCGAGGAACGATAAACCCTAGAATTTAGAAATTCTAGGGCACCGTGGAAGTCGGCGGTTCGATTCCTTGCCGCCACGTAAAGAGGTCCGGGGATCGAATCGCGTGGGCGCGGCCGCCCCGGTCCCATTCTTGCTGTTCACTGCTGCGCCCAGATCTAATCACTGGCGCTCTGGCGCGATGGAGCACGGGAGGAGAAGGAGGAGCCACCGGCGATTCTTGGAGTGAAAATCTCGAATCCCTCTCACAGGTCTGTAGGCTAGGAGCTCGGATCGAACAAGCAAGCGGCGGCTATGTCAGATCAGAATCCCTGCACGACGCCGAGCTGCGCGCCCCAGCTCAAGTTCTACCAGGCCTTCACATTCGCGACGCCGATAATCTTCACGCTCGTGCTGCTGCTGCTCTTTTGCGTCCTCTATGTGCGGCGGCGCCAGACCGCCAGGGCCGTGTCGCAGCTCCGCGCCCAGTTCTTCGCGAGAGGGATCTTCTCCGCGGTAAGGAAGGGAAATGCGAGAGGAGAGGATTGGATTGGTTGGAGCGAGGCCTTTTTTCCATTCTTCCTTTGCTTTTTTGGTTTTGTTCTCTTGTTTGCTAGACAAGAGTTCTTGGTTTCTCCTTCGGCCTTTCTAAGCGCGTTTGTTTTGCAGTGGCCAGTCGACCATGGATTAACCAAGTCCTTTCGAGCGACGCTACCGACCATCGTTTTTGACGAGAGCTTTGCGGCCAGCAGGGAAGATAACCAGTAAGTATCTCGTTTGAAATCCACCTCCTAGGTTTGACTTTACTGCCACGAGTTTTTTCTTTTTTCTTCGGCACTGTTCCATCTGCCTTGCATAGAGTTGCGTGCGCTGTTCCTAGTGACTGACAGTGGTGTCTTGCGAGCTCTGATTCCAGTGATTCCAATCTCCTAGATCTTTTTTTTTTTTTTTTTGTGGCTCGAGTGAGAATTTTACTGTTTTGTGCATGAAAGGCTTGCGTCTCTTGTGGATGTTGCTTTTGCGGGTAGAGCTTGAGTCTACAGGGTTCTTCTGTTGCTCTTCTCGTGGCTCTAAACTTTTCATACGGGTTTTCCGTGTGATGCCCCTTTTGCAGCCATCCTAGACTGTGTTCTCGTGGTATCATAGTTCAGCCCATCTGCATGTTCCACAGGGGGTTGTCTCCAAATCCCACAACATTTTTTGTGCTCCTGCGCATGTTTGATTCAAAGTTTTCTCACCCAATCGCTAACATCTCTTCTACAGTTTTTGTATTGTTTGATTTTCAACCTGATATGTTTTTTCTCTTTGGATTCGCATTTGACGAGCTCGTGATCACTAACATCTCGTCTTTTTTTTTTTTGTTTTCTCTAGGTGCGCAGTCTGCTTGTCAGACTACCAGCCCGGCGAAAAGCTGCAGCAACTTCCAGTGTGTGACCACATCTTCCACGTCGAGTGCATAGATGAGTGGCTTGCAAACAACTCAACTTGCCCGATCTGCCGTGGCTCGTTGCATCACGGGAAGCTGGTCCCTATGGAAAGTCTTGGAGGCCAAGTGGATCCTCACGGTCAGGACAGGGGCCACACGGCAGTGACTATAACAGGGTGCGAGTCAAGCAACAGGAATGGATCGACTAGCAGCAGCAGTAGCGGAACTAGTGGCAGTGGTAATGGATCTCAGGTCACCGAAGTGACTACTACCGCTGGAACTACCGCTGGAGTAGACCACTTACCAGACAAGGCCGCTGCTAAACAAGACAATCTACCAGGCAAGGCTACTGAAACTCAAGCTCAAGAACAAGAAGTTATGGAAGGTCCGAGCCACAGAAGTATTTCTTCGATGGAGGAAGCCGTGAAAGACAGTGCTGAGCACACAATCCAGATCGAGCGCTGAGAGCTCCTTGCTTCTTCGTTCACACTTTTTTCTCCTCTCTCCTTTTTTTTTCTTTTTTTCTTTTTTTTCTTATTTTGATCGCAGGAAGAGCTCACTAAAAGCTCACCTCCAACTCCTGGTGGATGGAAAAATATCGTCTGTACTATGAGAGTAAGCACAAGAGGGAGCCAAAGTTTCGCCACAATACCTTTGTATTCTTTCCCAAGTGCTCCCCCATTTTCTTTCAATGTAAAGCTTGTGTAAAACAGAATAACAATATATCAAATCTTGTTTTTTAGGGTCCAAAGCTACTTTTGCTCAACACTCATAAAGTTTGTGTAAAACACCACAGTAAAGAATAGCAAAATCAATCAACCTCCTGCTTGTGATTGATCTTGTGATTGATCGACGTGATTAAATCTTTTGCTACTCCCAATGATGTTTGGTTATAAAAGAAGGGGGCACAAAACAAGGAAGAACACGTTTGATATTCCCAAAGCTTTGTCTATTCTTTCTTTGTAATGTTGGGTTTGGGTGATTTGATGCTGGAAAAATACTAAACAGGTCCCTCGCATTTGGAGCGCCCAAATCCTCTCCATACATTCCATCTTTTAATCCGACAAGGCTATGTTCCTCCTTCCGTACGTTCCCTCTCGGACGACTTGTCAAACTGCCGTCCGTGCAGTCACGGCCCGCCACATGGCAGGCACCCAAGCCCCGGGCATTGCGGGCCGTCGGATGTGACGCCCTGGAGGAACTGGAGGAGCGCATCCGACGGCTGACGCGGCCTTGTTTCGAGGCACGAAGGAGGATTGAAAGTGTCGACCTCTCAAATACTGTTGCTCGCTATATATCCTTGCAGCGTCGAGTTTGTTTTGTTCCGATCGATCGTCCAGTATAAATTCCCGTTTGATCCCGTTGCCTTGAGCTCCATTCGCGGCCGAGGAGTTGTACTACCAACGGAAGAACTTTGCTCGAGCGATCCAAGCTGGTGTCCTGTCTCTCGCATTCTTATCGTCGTGTGAGATCGTAGATCCTTGCTTTTAACGTCAATGGATCAATCCGCAATGCGTGCGCGCCTCCTACTTGTCCTTGTGATCATCTTCTCTGCTGCTACGCTTGGAGCGGCAAGACTGGTTCCTCCAGGTACTTGATCGAGCTCTTTCTTTCTCTACCTGCTTGATCCAATGCTGCTCACACTGCTTTTCCTTTTCTGATCTCCTGTTCCCAGCTGACCATCGTCTCCACTATTTTCCGTCCGGACCCCCTGCCTCGACCATTGCTGCTTTGAGTGATGCTGAATTCCGGAGGATGCTTCACGAGGTGCCGTCGGGTCCCAATCCCGTCGGCAACATGTTGCCCGGGAGGTACTTAGTCCGACGGTCTCCTCCAGAGCTCGGGTTCCCGTGAAAGAGAGATAGGATCACGTTAGCTTTTTGGTTTCAATCTTGAGTTGTCCATACCGAGAAATTTTTTGCTATGTCACGACGGGAGAGCGGACTCTCCTTCCTTAATTCGACGCTTTAGAAACTGTTGAGCTCATGGTTTGGATCCAGATCTGCGGAGCACGAAGAAAAGCTGTTCATCATTCGTGTGCATGGCTAGCAACACAAAAGCATAATGACAGACGCTCTTACCAACAGGATCGAGCCAACACTGCACGCGCGGATGCATGCATGATGCATGGACCTGATATCCGAGCTCATTCAATGCGACAAGCAAAAGACGCATCTTGCAAGGACAGATCCAACCATGCATAGCCTGGAATGAACCAGCAAACACACACAGTCGCTTTGGACTACTACAAGACGCTCTGACTCAAAGCTATACGGTAAAGAACATGCTCAAACAAGTGCGACCAGACTGAAATGATTCCTGTGTACTTTCTGAGTACCTTCAATTCAGCAGCCAGCACTGTAGCAAAAGGCCAACCGCAACGATGTTGCCAAAAGCACAAATCTCAATCTTGTACTTAACACGCTCGCACACGCAATAGAAACGAGTGACCAAATAGGCTCTTTGCATTGTCGTCCTGCTGTTGATATCAAAAGTAGCTGTCACTGAAAGCAAGAGATCGACGTGCCAAGTGAAATGATCATACCTGGTGGATTTGAATACTCAAATCCCTTGATCTTTGAACAATATAACAGTCTCGGGAATACCTCTTGGCATGGTAACCTTTCGTTAAGTTTTATTCGCAAAAACTGTCACCAGTTAAATGAAGTTGCACCTAGCAAAAACACTTCACTTTCTAGATTTCGAAGCCATTGACAGACGAGGTTCGAAACTCTGATGGCCGCACTCTGCGTTACACAGAATGTTACAGAGCACGAAAACCAACCGAGCTTTACCTTCTCTGCCAAGGGATCAAAAGCCGCGTAGAGCTCAAAATCGGACGTTCTCCAGTACATCAGCACTGCAAGCACAAATGTGACAGCTACTTTAATATTTACAGAACGGAACAGACCATAGTTCTCGTCTCTCCTGTACTGCATCTTGTGATGACCCCCGTTTTCGTCATGCATAGAGAAATGGATGCGTTGGTACGCTCTAAACAACCTGAGGCCATTGAAAGCTAGTCAGAACAGCAACTGTAAACTTCTACGTACTTTTTCTGGGCTGCGTATGTATGCAACGGCGGTGTAAACTCGGAAGCAACATACTGATCGAGATAGGTACTCCTGTATAGAAAGTGCCAAAGGCCTGCTGGACCCCCCAAAAGCGTCTTGGTATTCTCACGAACGACATCTGGCTTCCTCGCAGTAAATCCGTTCTGTGAGTCTAAAGACAGATCTTTCACACGTAAGCCCCCTCGTTCCACTGAACGACTCATCTCGCCTAGAACTCGAGACTTCTTCAATATCATCTCAGCTCGCGCTCTGAAAGGCTCATTAGACTCATAAACCATAACATAATCCCTTCACAAACCTGCAATCTTTCAAATGATAGAAGCTATCCAAGGATGTTGAAATCAGCACAAGATAAACGCTCTCCTGCAGGAACATCATGACATAGTATCTAGATCCCATTGTCAGGCAGTACTTACAGTAAGGTACTGAACATACGCATACACAAACGCATTCGGATTATAGTGTGGCAGACATACTGGAGAAAAGGACTCTGTTGTTCTGCAGAATGGTGAATATCAGCAAGCAACGCCAGTATATGTAAGATTACCGGAATGAATCCGACGACGAAACAAAGTTGGAAAGAAGGAACAGGTCGTCCGGGTGAAGAGAAGCCTTGCGAGGTCCCACCATGTTGATGACCTGAAAATGGAGATTACAACCGCAATAAGACAGAGCGTACGACCTTATATCCCGACATCAGAAGTGCAAACAGCACGCCGGATTCTGCAATATCTTGTAATGCGGCTCCTGCGGTCTGCCTCGCAGCATATGGCAGTGGCAAGCAGGCATACGCATGGAGGAATACAGTAAAGTTCCTGAACACGAACAGCGAATCAATCAGCTTTCTTCACCTTTTACGATGCACCTTACCAATTAAATGAGTGCACCAAGGACGAAAGCACGATGTCCGTTCCTCCCAACAAGGTCTTCATATCAAAGGTGGCATGCTTCGCGAAACATCTTTCCACAGCTTTCGTGAGGATGAGAAAAAGCTAAGCTTGTACCCGGTTAGTGGCAACAGTATCGTCAAGGAAGCATACCTGGCCATGAAGGAGCTCTAACTGACGTTTCATAGCCTGATACGGCTCCTCCGTGGAATTAATCGATACAAGGTACAGCGGTCCTTTTACTAGAAAAACGATCTGCAAGCAAATCACTTGAAGTAAACCCTTCAGAAAAACAAACCAACCTGATGATTTCCAGCACGCACCAGTTGCAGGCAATCTCCGCTGTAAATCCAAAGAATCAAAATGAAGGAAAAGAAGAAAAAAAGTCATGGAATGTACCTAGTTATTACAAACGACATGATTGCCTGTAGTGTTGCGGAGAAGCCAGCCAACTTGTGCTCATCTCCATATCTAAACAATGGAGATCAAGAACAGCGTAGCAACAGAGAAAAACCACACCTGGAGTATATAGGCTTTCCGGCATTGCTGAGAACAAAGAAGTGCTTCTTGTGTTTACGCCATGACTCGCTGCTATCATCCTGTGCCAGAAAAAAAAAATTTAAATTGAGAGAGTGCAAAGAGAAACAAAGGATGAATTCTCACTTCGTCTGCATGTCTCTTTCCAGGGACCCAGCTATTTCCATCATGTGAAACACGACGCGCCATCTCCTCTCCTCCAGCACCATTTGTTCCAGAAGATTCCCCAGACGAGCTGCGATTTGGATTTCCGTCACTCTGACCCTTGGCAATGGAAATCTCATTCAGGCCTCGCGATAGCTCCTCGTCTTCCTTGTTTTCCATCGCCTGCTTGGCCTCGCCGTCTGCGAGGACGCAAGAAATGCGTGAATTCGAACAAAATCTCGGTAGCATCCGATAGCCAAAGCCCTAGAGAATCGATTCCTGTCCAGGAAAGATTACCTGAGGATCCGGGCTCCTGCACCGATTCCGACGTATCGATGGAGCCCTGATCACTGGCGGCATCCGCGATCTCCTTCCCGGAGCTGCTGGAGCTGGCGCCATTTCCAGATCGCTCCATTTCCACGCAAAGAAGAACCTAAAGGTAAAGAGCCGAAGGGTTTTAAATCGCAAGAACTTGGAAGCCCTAACCCTGGAGGTTTTAGAGGAGACGATGGCGGCCCCTATCCCGGAGGAAGTGATGGAGGGCGTGAGCGGCATGGACGGTCGATTGGAGCGGCTGGAGCAGCACATGAAGAAGCTCTTGAATTCCTGGTCGCCGGATGCATTGGCGCTGCTGGCGCCGGCGGATCGCGCCTCGGCCTACATGGCCGTGTCCAAGGCGCTCAATGCCGTCTATTGCTGTAAGTGTGCTCTTCGCGAAATCGCGCATTCTCTTCATTCCATTTGCAAGATTTTCTCCTTTGCGGCAGTGCTCTTGAGGACGCGGGGAGAATGCCCGGAGGATCATCCCGTGAAATCCGAGCTGGTTGGTTCTATCTCTATCTTCTTTTCTTTCTTCCTTGTGATCGCCCTCTATATGTTTTGCAGGACAGAGTGAATCTCTACGACGAGAAGGTCCAGTACGCCTGCGATAGAAGCAAAGGCGAGGCTTTGTCTATGAAACTTTGCGTGCTACGTTGTGTTCTTATCGCTCCTTGCAGCCCCGCGACCAACGTTGAGCTTGGACGTCAAGGCCGCGAATCGCTTCATCGAGCACGCGATTCCTGATCTCACAGAAGGTGACATATACAGAATAGCTAGAGAAGACTTCGCTTCTCACTCGCGTTCGCTGTTCTTCGTTCGTTCAGAACAAAAGCTCCTCGTGAGAGAAGCTGGAATGAGGACGACGACGAAGAAGAACAACCGGCCGCAACCCGATCACTCCTCCAGCAAGAGGCTCAAGTCTGGCGAATCGGTGGCGGACGCAGCAGCAGCGTTTCTGGCCGTGGCCAGCAAAGAGATTGGCCTCGCAGGAAACGAAGCCTCCATTGACAAAGCAGCAACTTAACTCCGAAGCGAGAGAGAGAGAGAGCGCGCGCTCGAGAAACTCTGATAGCTCCAGGCTTTTCTCCGAGGGGAAGCCAGAGTTCTAACGCGAGAGAAGCGAGTTTCACGGTGGTGGAGACCGAGCCATGAATCGAAACTCCACACGTCACAGAATGGAATTCTGGTTGTGAAGCTATTGAGGTGGCGATGGGATTGGATCAATCCTTCAAGCAAGTTTGTTTTTTCATTCTCGTCGGTACAGTTGCTACAAGATGAGGCTAGTCACTGTGGATGGGGACCGAGGCAAGTATAGTTGGATGCGTACACTTGCTACAAGATGAGGCTAGGCGCTGAAACAATTGATTGGGCAGAAGGGTGGCGATGGGATTGGATCAACCCTCAAGCTATTAGTTTTTTCGTTCTCGTCGGTGGACTTCAAATCTCACTTGTTGCTTGCTCGATCTTCTCTTTCCTTCCATTATCTCAATCCATTCATTTTTGCCTATAAACCATGCTCATCCTTGCCTCTATTGGGTAGGCAACAAAACTTGTCAAAGTTGGCAGAAAATAATATCATGAATCTCACAGCAAAATGGACGAGAATCTTCCGGCTATTTGGATGGCCTCAGATTCTTTTGACATTTTTGGAGGGGCCAGCAGCAGCAGCAGCGCCCACCGAAAGGTGGCGGATTTTTTTCTGTTCTGGGCTTGTCGGCACAACGACACGCGTCATGCGTTACGTGTCCTTTCCTCGCCACGCGGTGGCTCGCCAAGGGGACGAGTGGCACTTGCCAACTGTATATGTCCGCTAGTTTGTGAGGTTTAGCTCATCCACTCTCTTAAAATTGCAGGGCGCAGCGGGATAGCGAAAGGCAAAGAGAGAGTCTCGAGAGAGAAAAGAGAGAGATCGTCGGTGATTCTAAGCGAATTTGTGGTTGATCGGAATGCAGTCGCAGGCGTATCCATCGGGCGAGCAGGGCGGGGATTACATGAAGATGACACCCGGTAAGCAGAGGAAAGCAAGAATTTCTCGCTAGATTTTTGTTCTCACCCTCTTTCTCTCTCGATCCATCCAGGCGAGCAAGAGGCTGAGTCTCCGCACTCTCAGGAGGGCGATCACAAGAAGAAATCCGTTGTGGGCAAGGTCAAGGACAAGGCGAAAAAGCTCACTGGCAAGATCAAGGGAAAGTCCAAGAAGCGTAAGGAGGGGCAGGGAGACGATGTCGAGGGCGCCGGCGGCGACACTAGTAGCAGCAGCAGCGAGGGCGAGCAGGGAGACGATACTCCTCGCTATGATCAGGTAACTTGGAAGGAAATTGGGTGATATTTTTCGATGGATCCATCGAATTGCTGATGATTTGTTTTGGCCTGGCAGGAACAGCAGCAAACGGGATACCAGGGAGCTGCCGCTACTCCAGAGGCTCGCCATGGTAAAGCTTTGTTCGTCCTTTTCCATTGTTTATAGAATTAAGTTGGTGATGAGATTCATTGCGTGTTTTTCTAGAGGGTGCTGTTCATGGTGGCGAACATGATTTCCAATCCAGAGAACTTGATCTCGGCCCAGAGAAGAAGGAAAGTGGTGGTCTTTTGAGCGGCGGAGTGCATGGCCAGGCCGATCCAAGTGCTCCTGCTCCTGGATCCGAGTGGCCTCGCAGCGATGATGAGCCTCGCTCGGCGACTAGCGAAGCTCCATCATGGGACGAAACTAAGAAGAGGCAAGAGGAAGTTCCGGCCGCTCATGGTCAGTAACTCATGAGAAACCAACTTGGGGATACATATTTCTGACTCGAGCTTTTTTGTTCTTCAGGTCAAGAATCGTCCGGACTTTCGTCAGGATTGGAGTCTAGCGGCTTTGAAAGCAAGCCTCGAGGAGAATCTGATTCCCTCGGAACGGATTCGTCTTCTCTTGCGGCTGGAGCTCTAGCCGGGAAGACGGAGGAGAAGATTCCCGAGAGTATTATGAAGCCATCAGCGTCACAGGACGAGGCCAAGCCTGTCGTGGACGGCGTGGACAGCAGCGGCAGTGATCTCTTGTCATCCGAAGTCGTCGATAAGTCGCCAAGCGACAAGGTTTGTGAAACTGTCAACTTTTCAAGACTTATTAACGTTTGCTCCAGGTTGATACCGAAGTTCCATCGGATCCGCAGCTCAAAACCAGTGACTCGCAGAAGGGCTGGATGCAGAGAGCTTCCGAGAGCGTCTTCTCGGTGAAGAACGCTCTCATGGGATCGCCCAAGGCATCCACAACGGACACTACCTCTCCCACGGCTCCAACGGGTGTCACGGAAGGTACCGGACAGGATTCCAAAACTTGGACAGAAAAGGCTCGAGATGCCGCAGTCTCTGCAAAGGATACAGTCAGCAGCAAGCTACCTTCGAGCACAGGGCCGACGGACGTACCAGCCTCGGGACAAACCACCGAGCAAACCGAGTCCGCCACTGGTACCACCCCGAGCGTCACTTCCCGGGCGATGGACTCGGCTACTGCTGTCAAGGACACCGTTGCTTCGAAGCTGGGATACGGTGGAATCGGTGCTCAGACGGCCCAGACTACTCCCGCGAGTGACGTCGATTCGACAACGCAGGCTCCTCAGTCCGGTATAACGCAGAAGGTGATAGGCGCGAAGGATGCGGTCGCTGCGAAACTTGGCTACGGTGCCGGTGCTGGAACCGAGACCGAAACAGGTGCTGGCGAGGGCAAGAACACGAAGCTTTTCACTCCGGACGAGCACGACACGGCTTTGTCGCAGAAGATCACTGACATGTTGACCCTGGGTGGCGGATCGAAGAACACTGGATCTCCATCTCCACAGGCAACTACGCCGGAGGCTACACCAGCGAGTCCGGGTGCTACAAGCCAACAGGGAAAAGGTGTTATGGACAAAGTAACCGGTGTCATGGGATCGTTCCTAGGCAAGAAGCAACCGGACGAGAAAACATCCTCGGGTAACTTGCAATACTAAGCTTGGTTTTATTCTCTTCCCTGGAGCTAACTTTTGTGAAACTATTTTCAGAAGCTACAAAGGACACTGTGATGAGCGACGCTACTGCCTAAGCAAGTGAAAGATGCAAATAACGGATGTACGTAATTCTTATGCTTTGTGACGTCTTGTAGATACCGTTTAGCGATAATAAAAAACTATTTAAGCGAACTTCCTTTATAGTTGGCCTTTACCATAAAAACAATTGACAATTGCTTTGCTTTGCCCGAAGCCCTGCTCTTTGCTTGCATTTTACTCAAGCTTTGCTTTGTATTTTTTTAATTTGTGAAAAAAATTATTTCTCACACCACTGAAGGTTACCATTGACGTTTGTTATTTTAGTATCTAGAGGGAAAGTTGTCCAGTGCAATTGAGAATCATATCCCCGGCACCATCCTGCAAGATCCACATACTTGCCTTCGTCGGCATCAACTATGACTAGCCTCATCTTGTAGCAACTGTACACAAAGCCTCCACCAGGGACAAGGTCCGAATCCTTGTTGCTAAGGTGGTAGTTGAGATTTATGAATGTCCTCTTTGGCCAGCCATATCCCCACTCGCAACGGGCATTCAAAACACCTCCCAATGGTTCGTAGGAGAAAGTGGGGCAATTTATCGGGAATGGTACACAGCCAGCCTGATTAAATTATGAGTTTCAGCTATATATGGATATATGGATAGAGTATCACACACCTTGGAATGTGGTACACTCAAAAGCAGGAGGACTGTTGCAATCCAGATCATTTTATGTCAAATAGCTTCGCAAATCTCTTAAATATACAAGTATATTCTGTTATGTTTTTTATTTTATTATAGTATATTAATATTTCTTTAATAAAAAAGTAACGGGGCACGTCCGAATTGACAAAAATTTATAAGTGTTTAACAATTTTTTATTTTTTAGAGTTCTATAAAATTTGTATGCTTTTTGTTATGATAGAATTTATTTTCTAATTAAATTTCAATTCCTTTTTTCAAACAATATTATAAAAATAAGAAAATAAAATATCAAATAATTTTTCAAGAAAATAAAAAATATATTTAACAATAAAATTAAATTATAAATAATTATGAATTTTAGATATCTAGTAAATAAAATGTGAAAAATATAATATAACTCATGAACTCAAAATGTTTCTTTTTCTTAATGAATATTAGAAATTTGAGTATGAATAATTATCATTAAAAAGGTTTTAAAACTAGAGGTAAAATGATTTGATATTATTCAAGAGTTCATTTTGGCCTCTAAGCTTTTAATTAGGTAACTAAATCATAATTATATTTTAATCAATTATTAGATTTCCACAATTTAAAAAATAAATAATGGGATTTAATTCTAAAACAAAAAAAATTATATATATGCATATTATATATTACTGATATACATTTGATCATGTCCAATCATACTCCTAAACACTTGGGGATGTATAGTAAATATAAACTAACAATCATTTTGATGAACAATATTGCTGCCTAAGCAAGCCAGAAAGAAATAATTGTGTATATTTGTAATAACAAATTATTTAAGTAAACTTTGTTATTCAGCCAAAAATTTGTAATTATCATAAAAACAATTTCCTTTGCCTTATCTAATCATTTCACTCAAGCTAATTTGTAATATTTTATTTCTGACACCACTGAAGGTTACCATTAATGTTTGTCATGTGAGTATCCAGAGAAAAAGCTGTCCAGTGCAAGAGAGAATCATATGCTCGGCACAATCCTGCAAGATCCACAAACTTACCTTCGCTGGTGTCTAAAGTGATTACCCTCATCTTGTAGCAAGTGGAGAGGAAGCCTCCCCCATGGCCAAGCTCTGAATCCTTGTTACTAAGGTACTTGTTGAGATTTATAAATGTCTTCTTTGGCCAGCCATATCTCCACTCGCAACGGGCACACAAAACACCTCCAAACGGCTCATAGTAGAAATAGGGGCAGTTTCTTGAGAATGATGCTGGTTAAATTGTGAGTTTCAAACTATATATTAATAGAGTATCACACACCTTGGAATGTGGTGCACTCAAAAGCTTGACGACTGCAGCAATCCAGATCATGTTTATGCCAAATAGCTTAACATGATTTATCTTATCAAAACATTGTTAGTTTGCATTATTATAATTAAAATATAACATTTTTAACACAACAAAAAGGTAAGATGCTATGCAATGAATCAGTGAGCATGGTTAGGCTATAAAACTTAGCTAGCACTGAGGAGATTATGCACCATTGTCCATTGGAAGGCTGAGTGATGTGGAACCATCTGCAGACTTTTCTATCGTATGCTTTACTATCCATCACTTTTGCAAATCAAAGTATAATTATACTGAATATATCCAATATCCTGGATTACATTTCTGTGCTTTTGGCTAGATGTAAGCCTCACAATGATCCACTATACTTGTGCACTGAACAAGGCGCTGTTTTCAATCCGACACCTGTCCCACACTAAAAGATAAAAAAGAAGAATTTACAAAGTTGACAAAAGCCCAGGAAGTAGAGCTCGCATATTAGCTTCTAGAGCGCAAAGCGGAAAGGGGTAAAGTGGTAATGGAAGGCGCCGCCCTAGTCGCTAGCTCGATTCCCAGCAACAGCATGAGAAAGAGGAGGAAGAAGAAGCAGCGGGAAGGGATTGAGCAAGAAGAAGAAGATCGGGGAGATCCGAAGGTAGATGATGATCCCGAAGAGGAGGAGGAGGAGGAGGAGGAACAAGAGGAACTCGTGAGCAGTGACTTGCTCCAGTGGAGCATCATGTCGCGGCTGGATGCACAGAGCTTGGCACGATGCCGCCTTGTTTGCCGATCGTGGCGAGGCCTCGCATCCTCGGACGTGCTATGGCGTCCCCTGCTCGCCCAGCTCCTGGGCCTCAGGGCCCAGATCCCCCTCCAGATGCTCGCCCTCCATCGCCCAATTGCTGCCCGCGCGGCCTACAGTCTCCTCATGGACGATTCCCGCAAGGTTTGTGTGGAAGAGGTTTCCAGAACAGTCTAGAGTCTACTACTGGGCCTTGTTCGCTTCTACTATCATATCATCTTAAGCTTTCTTCTAACAAATTTCTTCTTTCCAGTACCGGCTGGTTTCCAGCGATATGTGCAGCCGTACATGGGAGCTTCGCGTTAAACCCGTAAGGCAAATTATATAGAAAATAGAGGTTGATTAAAAGTTCGCCATGGCTCTCTAGGTCTGTGGACAATATTGGTATTCGTTAGATCCCTCGACACATGGCAAGCCGGCATTGGCCCGCTTCTTCCACTGCGACGGGAGCATCACTGCCGCGGACAATGACCCAATTTGGGGTGGCCAGGAGTCGGCTTGGTAAGTTCTCTTCTTTTAGGAAAAGGGAAATTAGGGTTCTTAGTTGGCTTTGTCTATCCAGGAGGTTTGTGTGTGTGGACGCAAAGCAGTACATTAAGATCAACTATTGGCCAGAGTTTACGATATTCCGGCTCCAGGATGGGCGGTGGAGATTGGAGAACAAGTGGGCCACGTACACCACCGCGCCGGATCTGTATCTCGGTACGGGCATGGCCATTTGCAAGGAGAAGGCGCCACCCTGTACGGGCTGCGCGTATCCCCGGCTCATGAACGCGGTGACCGCGTTGGTGTCAACCAGCTTCAAACTGGTTTACTGATATATATATATATATGTGTGTAAATAATCATCTAATTTAAAAATATAAAATGAAATGAAATACATGATTTTAATTAAGTTAAATATGTGGAGTTGAGGGGCATCGATCCCCTTACCTATCGCATGCAAAGCGATCGCTCTACCATCTGAGCTACAACCCCTGATTTTTCTCTATTTTGTCAATACCAGCTATAGATTATTATATTACTGGAAATTCGTAAAATTATAAATTATAAATTTATGAGATATATCTCCTCTTTTATTTTTCCAGATTCAAAAGATTTAAAGGACAGCTAATGCTCCTGATTTGGATATGAATAGGGGATATCAAAAGGTGAATGGATTCTAAACAAAAGTATAATTGCCATACAAAAGCCTTGCTTTTGTAATCATGTTGACAAATCTTTGGTAGAAAAGACCACGAGGGGAGTTTGATTGGTGCACAGAATGCGGCGTGGAATGTTGTCACCAAGCACGCTCCGGAATACAGGGAAAAATCGCCGCCCGCCTGGTATGCATTTGCGTTGAAAGGCCTCTCTCTTGGAATTGGACCGAAATCGGACTGGCAAGTTAAAAGTAGGGTTTTCTCTTGTCTCCTGAATGATGCTACAGCTATAATGTCAAAGTCTGAGTTTAGCTTCCTACAGCCCAGCAATTTGACTTGGTTGGACATAAATTCCAGGTGGAAGTCAAGTGGAAGTATTGAAAATTCTTGGAGCTCGAATCGAGAAGGGAAAAAGCATCGCGCTTGTGCTCAACTCCTTGGCTGCCACGCTCTAATAACTCCAAGCGGGAACATTTCCTTTAGTGGCCATGTTTTTCTTGTATCATTCCTTTGCGACTGGGCCGGGTTGGCCACCTAGAAAAACAGATGGAAAAATGGAAAAGAACGTCGACAATGCAGCAAGAGGGCGACGCATTCCACCTCACAAGCGCCGAGCGAATCACAAAAACGCGCGTGACGTCACGGGGCATCACCGACGGCCACGATTCGGTCGTCTTTTCGCTCCTTTCCGCGTTCTTTGAAAAACTCTCCTTGGAAGCGCCTTGTGAGAGAACCTGTAAGAGCGAGTGAGAGATGTGAAGAAGAAAGGCACGCGGCATGCGCTAGGAAAGCAAAGAGACAAGCAAGGCGGGAGGGACTAATAGCATAACAAAGATGTGCCATCTTACATCTTATCAGATTGGAAAGAATAAAAAAGAAAGAAAAAAACACGAGAGAAAAGTAGAAAAAATCAAAGAATCGGGCACGTACCACAACGAACCTTCTCAAGTCCACGCTTTCTCACACGACCCGCTCCTCACCAAACCAATCGCGCTGCTATCTTTTGCGGCCCCTCACAGTGAGGTTTGCGTTCCAACAAATCAATCCAAGGCGGCAATCCAAGGCTGCGCAAACCAAACAAGTCAGTACTTGTGATTGATTGATAGAGAGGTAGCCTTAAATCACCTGGGTGGACAAAGAGCGGCGCTGGTGTTTGCGGCAGGAGCGAGCGAGCGAGCGAGCGATGCAACTCTGATGGGTCTTCTCCGGACGAGCAGGGAGCGCTGCAACTCGGTACTGATTTGCTCCTTGGTCTCCCTCCTCCTCGTAGCTACTAGATTCGTCGCAGCTCAGACCAGCGACGATGGCTCCGTGCTTCTGGAGCTCCGCAGCAATCTCACGGATCCATTGGGGAGCTTGAGAGGCTGGACTCGATCGACGAGCTACTGCTCATGGCAGGGGATTCGCTGTCGAAACGGCACCGGCACGGTGACAGGGATCTCTCTGTCAGGGAGATCGTTGCAAGGTGTGATATCTCCGGCGATCGGGAGGCTCCTGGGCCTCCAGGCTCTCGACTTGTCCAGGAACAGCATCTCCGGTTTCATCCCCAGCGAGGTCACCAGCTGCACACAACTCACGGATATCAATCTCAGCCAAAACTCGTTGACTGGAACCATACCTCAGCGCCTCGACTTGCTGCCGAACTTGACCAGCCTCCGGCTCTTCATGAACAGGCTGCAAGGCTCCATCCCGGCCTCGATCGGTTCTCTCCGTCTCCTGACCAGGCTGAGAGTCGATGACAACGAGCTGGATGGTTTCATCCCCAGCGAGATCGGGAACTGCTCGTCGCTCACGTTCTTCCAAGTTTATAACAACCGTCTTCGAGGTGGCGTCCCGGCTACGATCGGCAGGCTCCAGCGGCTCACGCACTTGGCGCTGTACAACAACAGTCTGTCCGGGCCGCTTCCAAGGGAGCTCGGAGGCTGCATTGCGCTCAAGAGGCTGACCATCAACCGCAACTTGTTCCAGGGGCAGATTCCAAGCGAGCTTGGCCGGCTCGTCAACTTGAACGAGTTCCAGGCGTCGAGTTGCAACTTCACCGGGAGCCTTCCGGTGGAGCTTGGCAGCCTCTTCAGCCTGTCCAGCCTCGACGTCTCGCGTAACAGGTTGTCGGGAGAATTGCCGCTGGGCCTGGGAAGCACCTGGAGGCAAATGCTGTCACTCAACTTGAGCTCCAACAACATAACAGGAAGCGTACCGGATTCGTTTGGGGCGATGGTGACGCTGGACGCGCTGGATTTGTCTCTCAACAGTTTCACAGGTGAGCTGCCGCTGCGGATCGGTCTCCTTTCCAACTTGTCCGTGTTGAGTCTCTCGGGGAACCAGTTTCAAGGGCCTTTGCCACCTGCGCTGGGAATGACAAGCGATCTACGTGTGTTAAATGCTTCCAATAACAGGTTCTCCGGAGGCTTACCTCCGAGGCTGTGTAGCAGCGGGAATCTATCGCTGCTCGATCTTTCGAATAACAGGATCGAAGGAACACTGCTCACAGTCGAGAACTGCTCGTCGCTGCAAACGTTGGTCGTCTCCAACAACTTCATCTCCGGCAGCTTTCCACAGTTCCAGTCACTTCGGTTGGAGGTCCTCGATCTTTCCATGAACCAGATGGGAGGCCAGTTATCGCTGAGCAACGAGCTGGAACATCTCAAGTCCCTTCTTCTCGGAAGTAATCGCTTCTCGGGGCCGATGCCGAACGACTTCTATCGGCTACCTGTTCTAGAGGCTTTGAACGTGTCCAGGAACCTATTCCAAGGAAGCCTTCCAACTCTGCTCAGCTTGACGGGACTCCACACGCTCGACTTGAGCCACAACAACATCAGTGACACCATTCCCGATTATTTCAGCACGTTTACGTCGTTGACAGTGTTGGATATCTCCAGCAACAGCTTTTCTGGACCGATTCCTTCATCCCTCGGAGAACTGAGAAGTCTTGATCAGTTCAACTTCTCGAACAATCAACTCAGTGGCGAGATACCTCAGATAACGCTCTTCACTGGCGCTTCTCCAAGTGTCTTCATGAACAACTTGAACTTGTGTGGGCCTCCTCTGGCAAGTTGCGGCAGCCAACCTCCTGCTGGTACTTCTCCTGCCACACCTCGATCCCGAAGAAGAAGGTCCGCTGGAAGGACAGTAGGCCTTGTCTTTCTCGTCCTTGGAGGAGTCTTCCTTGCGGCTACGGCAATCTTTTTGTTGTGCGCCTATAGAGCTCTGAAACGAAAGAAGTCCACCGTCATGCAGGAGAACAAGTTCGCAGACAGAGTTCCTACGCTCTATACAGAGATTGAAAAGGCAACAGAGGGGTTCAGTGATGGTAATGTTATTGGCACGGGGCCATATGGATCAGTGTTCAGAGGCATATTTGCATGGGAGAAGATCCTAGCGGTGAAAGTAGGACGTACCGAGCAAGATGCCGACGACACCAAGAACACGTACTACTACACTTCCGCCGCCAGGAAGCTCAACCGCATCCGCCATCCAAACGTTGTGAAGCTGGAGGACTTCCTCGTCTACAAAGGCGCAAAAATCTTCCTCTACGAGTACATGCCCAACAAGAGCCTTGCCGAGGCACTCCACAGGCCTTCGGGACCCAAGCTTCACTGGAACACCCGGTACAAAATTGCCGTGGGGGCTGCTCAAGGCCTGTCATATTTGCACCATCAGTACTCAATCGTGCACTGCGACATCAAGTCCAACAACGTACTTCTAGACTCGGCGTTTGGCGCTCGCATTGCGGATGTCGGACTAGCCAAGCTCATCGGGGATTCGAGAAACTTGTCCTGCTTGAACAGATCCTTCGGCTACACAGCACCTGGTACGCACTAGTTAGTTAAAAGAGCTTCATCAACTTTTCAAGTTCTCACCTTGAAATGCCTTTCTATGTCTTGCAGAAGCAGCGAAGGTGAGCCAGAAAGCAGACGTTTACAGCTTTGGAGTAGTCCTGCTAGAGCTCTTGACTGGGAAACGTCCGATGATGGAGGATGGTACGAGCCTTGTCTCGTGGGTCAGGAACAGCATTGCAGACGACCAGCCTTTGAGTGACATCGTAGATCCCATCCTGAGGAACGTCAACGGGCCTTTCCAGGAAGAAATCAGCAGCGTCTTCAAGATAGCTCTGATTAGCACGGATCCGTCCCCAGCAAGACGGCCCTCGATGAAAGACATCGTCGAAGTCTTGTCTCGCATCAGACGAGAGCCTGGAGCTGCCAAGTTGAGGAGCCTTCGGTCTTTTATTCATAGCCGTTCATTTGTTTTGCTGAGTACGCGAGATGATGATCAATGAGTTTTGGCCTTGATGTACAGAGCAGGCCCATTCTTCACACACAAACAAGAGAACTCTTCTTTTCTGTAATTATAAAGTTGCAAACGTTTTAAAAACTTTTGCAACCGACATAAAATCGAGCTAAAGCATACCGGGAGATGATGGTTCACAGATAGAATTCCTAGAAGATATCTTTCAACTGTAAAACAAAATACAATGAGGTTTTGGAACTTTTGTCAGCAGAACTTACGTTGTTCTAGAAAGGAAGAAGGATGTTCATAAACCTCCTCTTTGCAAATGCTAGCCACCATTTATTGGGACTTCCATTGGGTCGATACACACGGCCCATAAGCCTGCCGCTAGTTTCCTCTCTGAGCTGCTTTAAGTAGTTTCTAAACAAATCTAGAGCACCACAAAGAATGTTAGAGACAGCACCAAAAAAAAAAAAAAAAACGAATAAAGAGAGGAGAAAAAGAAGCAAAGACTTTACCAGCTTCTTGCGGTGATCCAGGAGTAGTGAAGAGTCCTCCCAGAGGAAAATCCGGCTCTCCGGGAATGGGGAACTTCTCCAACCCGAGATTGATAATCACCTTGATCCCCTCGGCCTCCGACTTACACGTCTCGATCCGCTTGAGCGCCATGTTGATGTACATGGTGAGATAGATGAGGAGCTTGTCCGCGGAGCTCTTCACCTCAAACTTGCGGAAGAGCACGTTTGCGCGGAAGAAATTGATGGCCTCGTCGATGATATCGAATTGGCCTTGAGAAGATCACAGCAGTGAGCATTCTTTCTCGGGGATTTGGGAGAGAATGTAGCTCATCACTCACCAGGATCAGCGAGAGGCGCGGGGCCCTTGATTGGAGTCCGGAGTGGCAGAAGGGGGCACCCGCAAGCCTGGCCGGCGCCGCTCTCATCTTTGAAAGACGAATGGTAGACCTGCGCAAACGAGAATCGCAAGCTCGTGACGGATTGATCGATCGATCGCGCAAGAACACTCACCATTAGCGACGCCTCTGATAAACCCTAAAATGTATCTTAGGATCCTCTTTATTTCGTTCTAGCGGGTATATGTACACGAAAAATGGATCATCACAAAGATTCGAAGGCATTCGTTGTTTTGCCAAGGCTGTTTCGCTGAGACGAATGGGCAAAACCCCAGAGCTGCATTTACAGATCAAGCAACGATCTTCTTCACGAAATAGAATCGAAGAAAAATTCTACCTCGACATCTTTTAGATCGAAGTCCTCAGCATGCGCCAGGCACTCGCTCCCGAAAGTTTCGCAGGCACCGCTTGATCCAGTTAATCTGATGAAAGAACAATCGAGTTTAGCTCCAGCGAGGAGAAAGAGAAAATCCGCAAAACTTACAGATCGCTATCCAGGTACAAAGCAAAATGCCCGCCTCCTCCGATCGCCAATGCGTCGTTTGTGCACAAGAAGTAGTATCTGTTCCTTCCTGCGCGATCGAGATCCCAGAGTTGAAAACAAAGATGCGTAGCTCTTCGTGAAAGATTGAGTACCTGTTGGCCGGAATACTTTGGCCGGGCCAGAGACGTTTGTGAAAACGAAGGTCTGATTGGTGCCTTGATACTTATTCCTGGTCGGCTTGAACGGAGCGAGTAGCAATCCGCCAAAAACTGCGCCCTTTCGATCTCCAGCCACCTACGAAAGCCCAGAACTATAGAACACAGTTCGAGGAGATGAAAGTGTGCTTACCAGCAAACAAGGTCCTGGAAGCAGGACGCTTTTCCTATAGAGTGTATGCAGCGAGATGCCATCCCGTGCTGTGCTGTTTCCGAAACCACGAAGAACACATCGTGAGCTCATGCTTGCAGCGATGGAGTGGAGTGAAGAAGTGCCACCTTACCTGTAGAGCAGCACCCAGGTGCGGCCTTGGACGATCGTCGGGAGCGAAGGATACAAAACGCTGCGAAACTTGTCAGAGAGGAGCGACGATTCTTCCGAAGCTGGCGGGAGCTTGGCAATGGCTTCCTGGCTCTCGAAGTGGCTGGTCAAGTAGTCCTCCATTATGGAATGCTCTAACTCATTGCCAGAAACCACAAACCAGTCGGCGTCGGGGTCGCCCGAGAAGCCCTCCTCCCACGAAGAGGACGCTCTTGACTCATCCGCTCCGCCGCTGGCGGATTGCGGGGAGGACAGGAAGGAGTAGAGGAATGCCGATAGAGAGGAGGTGTCGGGGCCGCGGAATTCGCCATCGCCGGAGGATCGGAGGTCGTCCTGGCCGAGATTACACGACGAGGATGTGAAACCCGAGAAATCGAGCGCGGAGTACCTGAGGAGGAGGAGGAGAGGGGGATTCTTGCTGTTGCTGCCGCGGCAGGGATCGCGATCGATGGAGCTGGTTGATGATCGGCTGGGAGGAGTCGAGGATGAGGCGCCCTACCTTGGAGCCTACATCCGTCCACCCCATAGCTCATGCTCGTGGAGTACAAAACCCTAACCCTATTAATGCGCTCTACTTTCTCTCGCAAACTCGCAATGGCGTCGAGGAGGGCCCTGTGCAAAGCGATCGCGGCCAGGCGATTGCTCGGGAGCTCCACGCGCATTGGAGCTCACGGCCTCTGGTACGTCGGCGCCCAGGGAAGCGATGGATTTCTGCTCGACAAGCCGCGGAATTTCGACGATTGGACGATGTTTCCGCGCGTCTTGAGCATTTTTGGCCCGCGATTCGTTTCCACTTCCTGGCAGCAGCGTCCATCGGAGGAAGAACAAGAAAAAGCTTCGTCCAAATTGGAGGCCGGAGAAGAAGGCTGGGCAGCGAAGGATTTTTTCACTTGGCCAAACACCATTTCTCTCGGACGACTTGCTCTTGGGCCGGTGCTCGCCTGGTATGTTTTGCTACTTTAGATCTTCCCAGCTCTTCTTGGCGATTGATTCGTTTGTAGTGGCGTCCAGGGCGATCGTGGAGGGATATACAGGAACAGCATTTTGGGGAATGCTAGTGGGAGGATTCAGTGACTGGGTATGAGTCTTTTTTTTTCTCTTCTTGTTTGTCGATTGAGTTGGTTCCATTGTTTGATACGAGGTCTTACAGCTTCTTACAGCTCGATGGCTACATTGCAAGAAGAACAAAGGAAAAGTCGGCTCTCGGCTCCTATCTTGATCCCCTTGCTGACAAGGTGCATTTGTTTGATGGTTGAAAGTGATAACACGCACTCTGGTTCGTCCATTTGCAGGTTCTCATAGGATCCGTAGCATTGTCGATGACGTATACGGGGCTTCTATCTCGTAAGTTTCCTTGTCGTGAAGGAAGAAATCGGGCTTTCTAAGCTTCTCTATATTTTTCAGCTCCAATGGTGGTGCTGATAGTGGCCAGAGATGTGGTTCTTGTGACGGGCGCCTTCTACCTTCGTGCTCGCTCGCTAAAGTGGAAGGTACGTGTAGAAAGAATTCTAGCTCCCTTAACAGGCTTGCATTGTGCGTTCTCCTCAGTGGTCTGGTTGGAGAGAGTTTGTCAAGGGCGCTCCTAAGGTGCAACCGATCTTCATCAGCAAGGTGAAAAGAAACAAGCTCTAGCTCGCTATATATTATGTCTAAAGCTTTTCTATCACACAGGTGAACACGGCTCTCCAGCTCCTCCTCATCTTTGCGGCACTTCTCGAGCCAAACTTCTCCCACCAAGGCATCAACATGGACTTGGTACAATTCTTCTTGAGGTATCTCCTATTCCCGTTTCGGGTCAAGACTCACTCGTCGGCGCTGTGTGCGTGATGTAGCTGTTCTGTGGCGGCCACAACTCTCGGTTCCTGGGCTTGCTACGGTGTGCTCTTCTACCGAGACACGAAGGGGAGGCTCTCTGCAAGGCAGTGACTGAGAAGTTTCCCTTGAGTCAGCTCACAAATTTTTCCTGGGAGACGCTAACGCTCGTAAGTCCACCACCTCGTTTCAACTAGCGGGAGAGGTGGACCGTCGGGGCTGAGACGCATCAGCTTCGTCCAGAAAGCGCTCTGGAACACCCCGCTAGGATCCGGCGGGCGGAGGCAATCCTCGACTGAATGAGACGCTGAGGATATATTACTCGGTGAGATATCTCATTATACAATGTCAAGTTTGCGTAAAAGCAACTTTGTGCTTGCGAGTTGAGAGCACTTCGTATCTCGCAAGATCATATTGTGTTCTTGTCCTCAAGGTCGAAAGATCTTCTTTTTTCTAGCTACGGAGCCTGTTGCTCAGATGCCGCTGTGCTTCTTTTCATTGTCATGCGATGCCTGGGACGTTTGTCACGCTTCCTCCTTCCGAACTTATACTTTTTGGGATCACCAATGTAGTCGGCTTGCCAGATCTTCTTCAGTGGATTAAACTTGTTCTCAGGCCATGGATCGTCCGAGAACCTTGGATCACAAGCTGGAAGTCCAGCTTCTAACCGGCTACACGAAAAAGTTTAGCTTAGTCTCGACTTGCATCAAACAAAACAAGAAAGAAAAACTTACCAGGTAGCATCACGCATCAGAGCTTCTTCTTCCTCTCGGCACCGCTGTCTGTGCATTCGCTCTAGCTCCAGCATCATCACTTGGCGCTTTGGAAGTGGGATATCTACGTGCTTGTCGCCTCGAGCAGCAGCTTCGTTGTAAAGCCGGTTTCTCGTCTGCCCAGCCAAGTCTTAAACCAGTGCTAAACTCCACAGAGAAACTTACCTGTCTTTCTTCGCGAGCAACGTCCAGCTCAAGCTCCGCTTTGTCAATGTTCTACAAAAGCAGCTCACCAGTGTTAAAAACCTTGCAAGGTTTGTAGCTCAAAAGCAAAGAACTTTACCACAAGGAATGATCGATATGGAACAGCTGGTGTTGGTGCTAAGATCCCAACGACGCCCGGATTTTTCCTTGCTGCCTTCCTCTTGATCAGTTGCTCATCGTCGTCGTCGAGGTCCTCCTCGTCGGTAAGCTCTTTCTCTACCTGGTTCACGTACTCATACCATTCTTCTTTGGTGGGTTCAGGAACTTTTTCTTCCTCGCCGTTCGTCTCTTCTCCTTTCTCGTCTTCGACTTCCACTTCATCCCCGGTGCCCTCTTCGTCATCTAGGATCGATTGCTCGCAAATGTACAAATGCCGGAGCTGGAGAACCAGAAGATTACAAAGAGATTCAAGCGAGCAATTAATGTGCCTGACCTTGGGGATGTATGGATGAGAGCATTCTCTGGGATCCGGTTCATCAGCAAAGGTTGGCTCCAGCTCCAGAGTAAAAGGTCTCCCTGTTTCTCTCTGAAAAAAAAAAAAAACAAAAAAAACTATCTTAGCACAGAACAACCATCGAAAAACTTACAGCGACTTCCTCATCGTGTCCATCTCCTGGTCGTTGTATGATTGGCGGATACTTGAATCTTCTAAATCTGCACGCAAAAACTTTAGCCACTACAATGCCGAGCTCTAAAGATCTTAAAGAGTTTACATGTCTTTGTCGATGTTGGGGTTCACGAACCTCATCTCGATTGGGAAACGATAGCGGTAAGGATCTCGCTTAGCCTGTAGTTACAAAACAAGGAAGTTTACCCGTAAAATCGAGTGAATCAATCAAACTTACAAGCACTTCCACCTCGACAATGCTCCCGACTTCAAGGATATGCCGCAGCTTGAACCAGTCATTGTCTTGAATTCCGACCCAGCTGATCGAAGAAGATGAAAAAGAAAAAAGTTTCAAACGAGAAAGAGAATCGAGCTGAAACCGAGCTTACCCGTCATGAACGCAACCAAAGTAAATGAAAGCACCATCGTGTTTATCAATGTGGACGATCATGCCAACATGGTGCTGTCCAGGATATATAAATGGAAGCTCATACTGTGAAAAACAAGATCAAAGAAGAACACAAGGAGAAGAGAAAACTAAAACTACGAACCATTCCATCAGTGTACCGTGCTCCTGTGCGTCGTCTACCAGGAGAGTACTCGGGATCAACCTATGATCGAAACAAGAGAAAGTTAGAACTCCGAGAATTCACTCCGAAAGATAACTCCAAATAAATGCTTGCCTCGAGAGCTTCTTTGTCTAGTCTTTCCTTGTTGGCGGCCACCCATTCATCATACTGTTTTACGAAAGTCTC